TTTAGAGTAATATTGTCAATATATTTTCAATATAAATAACTAATAATAACAACTAAATCATTGGTGTTATTGTGTTTGTGTGCATTTATACTTACTTTTTATTGTTATTATTTACAAATATCAATGATATTTTTGTCACAACTATTTAGTAATATTCTAAAAATAATATTATTGATTTGAAAGTAACTTGAAGAATATTATCAAAAGCTATTTTAGTGACGACTTTTAAAATTAAATGACGACTATTATCATCACAAAATATACTAAAATTACTATCCTTTTTTAACCATGGTTTAAGTTATGCAAAAATTGTCTACCAAAAAAAAAAAAGTTATGCAAAAACAAAGGAAAAAGCTATTATTTAGAGTTTTGTTGTTGAAAACTCAAAACCATGGATTGCACTAATTTTCTGTTGGAGGTGAGAATTGATTCATTGAAATTCTCGAAGTTCACACAACAGAGTCCCTATTATTTTCGGCCATATAGAGGCATAGTTTTCCACACAATCAAGAAAAACCTAGTTTGGGTGGAATCATCTTTAAAAAGGTTTTGTTTTGTTTTTTTAAAAAAAGCTTGAATATATAGTATTTAATTTTAAGGACGTTTGGAGGAGGCTCTTGGCTACCACGATGCGCCGTCCTATCTAGAGAAAGTCCCGTTCCCGTAATATTTCTGTGTGGAGTTGATAAGTGAACATCGATAAGGGATTATAATTATATTTTACAATGCAGACTCTGGTACTCACCTACGCCTACAAAGAAAAGGTAGAATTGACCCAACTGTGGTGGCTCAGTTGGTAGCATGAGACTGAGTGGTGGGAGAAGATCTCGGTTCAAATTCCACCAACAACATCTGGAGGAGGGGCATAAGTACCGTAATCCTTGAACTCACACCCGAACTCTGGATTAGTCCCATAGGTGGCTCAAAGAGTCGAACTCATGGGGATACCAGGGGTTCTGATTTCCCTCAAAGATATAATTAGGATCAGTTTCCAAAAAAAAAATAGAATTGAAAGAGTTTGTGATATCTATTGGTTAAGAAATGGAAAATGAGCTTACCAAAAAAACAAATAATAAGAAATGGAAATTGAAAGAATAATTCTATATCTTTTGAATATAGAGATTTTACATCTTCCTACTAGTTTTTTTTTAACAATTGTTTTTTAATCATATAATGAAGAAAATATTTTTTTTTTATTATTGAGATATTATGTATATTGATTTTTTAATTTAATACTTCTTTTTATAATTAATAGAAAATATTTTAGAAGAAATATATGATTATTCCCGAATAAATCTTTTTAATGATCTTCTTCCCAATTATTAAAAAGTAGTAAATACTTTTAAGTTCTCAAGACATAAAATGTTTTTACTCTTTCATTTAAATGTTATTGTTTTAAGGCCTATTTGGTGTGATATATAAGGTCTGATAATATAAGTTTATATTATACATTATGAGATTTTTAGTTATTTGATGTGACTATCGTATAGTATAAATTTGTACATCACCTCAAAAGTTAGCTCAAAGGGTGGGAGTGCCCAAGGCCTTATAAACTCCACATTAGTTGCACATACAACCAATGTGGGACCTAGGGGTGTAAATAGGTCAGGCTGGCCCAGCCAAGCCCAGCCTACGGCCGGCCTACATTGAGCCCAGCTCAAGCCCCGTCTTTCAGAAAAGTAGAGTAGGCTTAGGTTTATAAAAAAGTTTTTTTAACAAATAGGCCATAGGCCAATTTTGTCAAGCCCGGCCTACAGCCTTGTAGGCTGGTCTATTTAATTTATTAAAATAAAATAATAAAATAATATTTATTTTATGTGGCAAAGACGCAAAGTACCAAATACCAATATCTCTTACTTTTTGTGCTATTTTATTTTATGAAAGGAAAACTTGTCTAATGTCTCCAAATTTTACATGTTGTTGCAGCTTAATACCATCGAGCAATGGGTACCTTGCTGGATTATGATGTTACTGATGAAGATCTTTCAATAATACTCTTTTTTTCCTTGTCTTGATGGTGATTTAAAGAATTTTAGATGAATGATATTCTCTTGTAGACTTTATTTCAGCATCCAGTAATTGTATTTTTCTTATTTTTCCCATTTCCTTGACTTTATTCTTCTATGATATACATTCTAGAGCTGGGGTATTATGTTGACTCTTTCTTGTTTGTCATTTTTTTTATGAGAAGTACTAGTGCATGCATGAATGGAACTTTCTTTCCTCTATACAATTATTTTTTTCGCTTAGTATCTACAGTGGAAGGCCAACAAGGCCTGTAGGTCATGTCAGGCTTTCTTATTTTAAAAAATGGGCCGGACTTGGCCTACAAATAAAGCCTTTAATAGACCAGTAGGCCAGATAGGTTGAATTTTTTTTTACGTAGGCTTGGGCCATGAAGGGCAAAGCCCGACCCAACCCATTTACACCCCTAGTGGGACCTGTGCTAAGAAACTCCACAAGAGAAAGTGTGGGACGGCGAGGCTCTGATATCATGTAAAGAACCTTGGGATACACCACCCCAAAAGTTAACTCAAAGGGTGGGAGTGCCCAAGGTCTTATAAACTCCACATTAGTTGCATATACAACCAATGTGGGACTATATATCTCAACAATAGTAAATACTTTTAAGTTCTCAAGACATAAAATGTTTTTACTCTTTCATTTAAATCTTATTGTTTTAAGGCCTATTTGGTGTGATGTATAACGTCTGATAATATAAGTTTATACTATACATTATGAGATTTTTACTTATTTGGTGTGACTATCGTATAGTATAAGCTTATACATTAGATATATAACTTAATCAGGTCTAAATGAATGAGATTAAGCATGATGAGGGGTTGATGTATTAGATCGTTGACAAGTGTAATTCTTATGAATTAATATATTAAAATAAAAAATAATTTTTCAATATATTAATTTTTATAATATTGGAAATTTTTATTTTTATAAAAATTAATATTTTTTTTGGACACTCTGATCAACAAATTTTTATAAAAATTAATATTAAATGACATATTTGGAAGAATTATATAAATACTTTATTAAAGATTACTTTTGTCAAAATATTTATTTTTATCCTATCTAGTATTATGCAGTGCATTATGAAACACTGGATGATATCTTATACAATATATTATCTTATATAATATCGTATCAAACGTTTGATAATATTAAAATTTAATTTGATTTTATACAATTAAGTTTTATTCTATCAGATCTTATCCTATTGTGCGCACCAAATTAATGTGCCCTAAATAACAACAATACTATATATATCCTCTGTTTTTTTTTTATGACTTTTGATATAGGAAATTATTCTTTTTTATCTGTCATTTGTAAATACATATTAATTATTTTAAAATTTTATCCTTGATGTTAATAATTTGAAAGATAATATTTATAAATAAATAATCATATTTTTATTATTTCAATAAATGGTAATTCAATGGAATGAACAACCCCTTGCAGCTAAATCAGCAGGATTTAAAAACACAAAGTAGGAAACATGAAGAGGTGGTGATCCCCTCTTTGACGAGAGCATTGTGTGTTATATTTTAAAAAATTGGCTGGTGCTGATAGTGGCAGTGTGTTATATTAAAAAGATTTTTAAATATTGACCTCATAGTATTATATTCAGCAATCGAAATTTTATTTTAAAATTAATTTATATGTACAAATTCATTTTTTATTCTCAAATATATCATATATGTAAAAAAAAGTATCACATGTAAAGCAACATAAATGAGTTACAGCTTGTGAATTAACCCGTCAACCCACAATTTATGTAAATTAAAAGATCAATCATAATTTAAGTGCTTATAAATGGAACTCGCGGCGAAACGGGTTAGACAAGGTGGGTAAGTTGGCTCATATACCCCTATAATTACATAATCCTATAGTATTATACCTTGGCAATCAAGATTTCACTTAGGAATTAATTCATAACTATATGTTCAACTTTTTTTCGTCACATGTTAATTTTTTTGGATACATCGTCACATGTTATTTTGATCTCATTGAATATGTGCAATATTCTTGGGCCCTTTAAGATTTTCTCATTTCTCTGTACACACTACACCGTCCTTTATTTTCAAGGGAAATGCACAGCCGTTTTTTCTTGAACGCTTAGGGCCGTTTGGTAGCACGATTTTTTTTGTTTTTCTGAGATTTTTTGGTTGGATAAATAGGAATACATCGTTTGGTACAGAATTTTTAAAATTTTCTCGAGAATCTGATTTTCCTGGAATTTTATTTTGTGTGTAATTTTTTTTTAAAAATATCATCCAGGAATACTATCCAGGAGGTGGTATTTTAGGATTTCTATGACAAAGGAAAATTTAATACAACTAAACATAGCATAAGAAAATTAACTCAATATTCTCGGGAATATGTTAGTCTACCAAACAACTTTTTGGTAACATTCTCAGAAAACTCATTTTCTCATCATATTTTTAAAAATCATGATTCCTGGATATAAAAAATAATTCTTCTACCAAACGCCCCGTTAAAGGATATTTTCATGTGAATTTGCGTATCATAAAAGACCAAAGACTTCTAAAAAAGTTCAAGTTTGTAACATACCAACTCCCATAGAAAGATAGTTGAATGAATGAATTCCCCTAAACTACAACAAAGTAGTTGATCTCATGATAAAGTTTTATATGAACTTGCTACTTGAAATTTTTTTATTTTTCTTTCTTTTTGAAAATTCACATAGTTAATATACGAAGAGAGAAATAGACACAAAAAATTTTTCGCGATAAATTTAACATAATATGTTGTGTATCATAGACATACATAGGTAATGAATATCATATAGAAAACCAAACTGTACGATTCACTACCTATTTAAAAGGGTATCCCCATAAAATTCCCACTATATATATAGGTGTAGTCGCGCATCAAATTCCCATCCGATATCACTCTAGAAGATTATACCCTGTTATAATCTTACTTACACAATAGCCACCTTCACTTCTCAACCTAATATTTATACCACCATGGCTATGGTGATCTTAACAACCCTTTTGGCCATACTCTTGACTCTGCTATTTAAACTTGTCTATGACAACCTCTCATGTTACTTGTTCACTCCACTACGCATCAAGAAGATCATGGAGATGCAAGGTGTGCGTGGCCCAAAACCTCGGTTCTTCACTGGTAACATCTTAGACATAGCTTCCCTTGTCTCAAAAGCAACTTCCCAAGAAATGAAAACCATAAGCCATGACATTGTTGGTCGTCTTATGCCACATTTTCTTGTCTGGTCCAGTCAATACGGTATGCACATACATGCATATATGCATATCTCAATCTCTTTTTTTTTTTTTTCCTCATAGTTTACCTTAATTGAACATGTTAATTTGATTCTTTCAGGAAAGAGGTTTCTATATTGGAATGGTACAGAGCCAAGGTTGTGCCTAGCAGAGACTGAATTGATCAAAGAGTTTCTTTCAAAATACAGTATGGTATCTGGGAAATCATGGCAGCAAAGACAAGGTTCAAAACATTTCATTGGTCAAGGACTTTTGATGGCAAATGGTGGAGATTGGTACCACCAACGTCACATCGTTGCCCCTGCATTCATGGGAGACAGACTTAAGGTATTTTATTTATTCATAACTATAAAAAATTGTGTTACTGTTTTTAGAACTTTTAAAATCTTGGCTATCAAAGATTGTTTGGGTAGTAATTGGTTGGTCTAAAAAAAAAATTTGATTCAGAGCTATGCTGGGAATATGGTTGAATGCACTAAGGAGATGCTTCAATCACTACAAAATGCGTTGGAGTGTGGCCAAACTGAGGTTGAGATTGGGCAGTATATGACTAAACTCGCTGCAGATATTGTTGCTAGAACTGAGTTTGGTACAAGCTATCAAAAGGGAAAGAAAATATTCCATCTCCTCACACTGCTTCAGAGTCGTTGTGCACAAGCAAGTCGTCATCTTTGCTTTCCTGGAAGCAGGTATGTATGTGATTTTACAATTCTTTTTCTAAATCACCCTTTTCTTAATTATTTGTGTGATTCTATTATATGTTATGTGTGTTATAAAAAATGTCAATGTTTTAACTATCATCAGTGGATTATTTTATTTGATTTTGTCATTTATGATTCAATTTGTGTGTGTGTATAGGTTTTTTCCAAGCAAGTATAACAGAGAGATAAAGTCTTTAAAGATAGAGGTGGAGACTCTGTTGATGGAGATAATACAAAGCAGGAAAGATTGTGTGGAGATTGGTAGAAGTAATTCATATGGGAATGATTTGTTGGGTATGCTACTGAATGAGATGGAGAAGAAAAAAGGGAATGGAAATAGCTTAAATCTGCAATTAGTGATGGATGAATGCAAAACATTTTTCTTTACTGGACATGAAACCACAGCCTTATTACTCACTTGGACAGTTATGTTATTAGCCACTAATCCTTCTTGGCAACACAAAGTCAGGGCTGAGGTCAAAAGGGTCTGCAATGGGGGAATTCCCTCTGTGGATCAACTCTCCAAGCTCACTCTTGTAAGTCACAAATTAAATTACCTTTTTTTTTTTCTTCTTCTTTAAATAAATAAAAAATTAAAATTCTCTTGATTTACTTCACATTTTATTTACTATCTCTTTAAACCCTCTTCTTCCCTATGATGAAGGTGAAAACCATTTTGTATTTTGCTTAGCATAAAGTCACTTTAGGCTAATTTTCAGGGGATTGGGAAGCGGCAAGTTGGTCAAATTTGTATTTCTATTTTTCATAGAGTTTACTTTTATTAGTCAAATACTACTCTGCCGGAATCAGTTTTAGGAAAACTTTAATTCGGTCATTAAACTCAAATAGAATGGTCCATACAATTTAGTACAATTACATATAAAAATGTAATAATGTTTTTCATGTTATACACACATATAAAAGTACGCGAGATTCATGATTTTTTTTTCTCTCTTCTTGTTATATGGCTCCACACATTTTTATGTGTCTACAAGAGATAAAATTATTTCTTATAACTTGAGAAGTATTAATCTCATATAAAAATTATACAATCAACAGTTTTTTTCTATTAATAACTAGTGTTGTATAAATTTAAGCTATAGATTCTTGGCCAAAAGCCTAATTAATCTAAAGATCCTAGGCTTTTAAGTTATTATTAGCACGATGTTTAGAAAGGACAGTTTATAAATATTTTAGTCTAACTAAGATATCTCTGTACAAAGAAACAAACAAAGAATAATTTATTTACCGATTATCTTAGCACTCGTGCGCCGGTTGACGGTCTTGTTTTAAATAATATTAATAATGGTCATCTTTCTTTTTCAGAGTGTCCAAGTGCACAAAAGTTAAAAGCTATTAATTCATTTTCGAAATAACGTTACAGCCATACATTTTAGAAAACAAAAAGGAAAAATTCACACATATAGTTTCAGTCTTTGCGTTACATTTGCATTTTTCTTGGAAAAAAATACCAAAAAGAAAATAAATTGACCCTATTCTACTGTCAGTGGCAAGGTTCATGACTAGCCACTTCAAAAATTTCAGTTTTTCTTCTATTGATAGAGTACAGTAGTAATTATTGGAAAATAATTATTTCATGTTGCATGAGATAAATACAACAGAGATAAAATAATGGAGTCCACTATTTATTTATTTTTAAAAAGTATTAGACCCCACAATTTTATTTCTGTTGCATGCAACATGAGATAATTATCTCATGCAACATGAGATTAATAGATCCCGTAATTATTATACTAAAATGCTAGATTTTCCAAAAGATGGTCAGAGGTTGTTATTTGATTACCGTGGCCAACACAATAATATTAATTGAGCTATAACCAAAGTTGTTATTTGATTTTGCAGTTGCATATGGTAATCAACGAGTCAATGAGGCTGTATCCCCCAGCATCTGTGCTTCCTAGAATGGCCTTTGAAGACATAGTATTGGGTGACCTTTATATCCCTGAAGGGTTATCAATTTGGATACCTGTGCTGGCTATTCATCATAGTGAAAAACTATGGGGTAAAGATGCAAATGAGTTCAACCCAGAGAGGTTTACTTCAAAGTCATTTATTCCTGGCCGTTTTTTACCATTTGCTTTGGGCCCAAGAAATTGTGTTGGACAAGCATTTGCCTTAATGGAAGCTAAGATTATATTAGCCATGTTGATTTCTAAGTTTAGCTTCACCATTTCTGAGAATTACCGTCATGCCCCTGTGGTTGTACTCACAATTAAGCCCAAGCATGGGGTTCAAGTTTGTTTGAAGCCCTTGGAGCCATGAGTAGGAGCGCACTTTCAGTATCACGGTAATACTAAATTAAGTATTATTTTTGTAATTTACATTATGTACTACCTGGAGTATATAATGTAAATTATAAAAGTTACTTTTTTTCTCTCTCTACAAAAGCAGCTGACGTGGCGCACTTTCAGTACCACGGTGATACTAAATTAAGTGTTATTTTTGTAATTTACATTATGTACTACCTGTAGTATATAATGTAAATTATAAAAGTTACTTTTTTTTCTCTCTCCAGTACAAAAGCAGCTGACGTGGCGCACTTCTATTGACTAATCACACCTACACCGGTTGTATTCTGGATTTTTCACATGAGTGGGTCATTGTCAAATATGGAGATTTGAGAGTTTGAGAAAGTTTTTGTCTTTTATGACGCGGAGAGCGAGTTGTAAGTTGTGATCATCTTGATCTTGATGAGCATATTTTAGTAATTTTTTATTTCATTTTCAACTTTTTTACAATGGAGAGATAAGAGATGAAATAATGATTGCAAGGATGAGGATATGTAAATTAAAAACTCGAATGAAAGTACAAATTTATCTCGACAATACATAAATTGAGTTTAGTAGGTCAAAAACTGGCACTCAGATGTAACACAAGTTATAAAGAAATTGGAGGAGCTGTATAAGATAAGCTTTTAAACATACGCCCATAGAGATTAAAAATGATCCAAGTAGCATGTGATGAGTACAAAGGGGCTTCTTTTTTAGCTTTGATCGATGACCCTTGAGACTTTAGAATAATTGTTTGATTCTTATAATGATTTTCTCTTTCTAATAAGATGATTTAACTAAGTGCTCTACTTTCCTCAATACAAAATAAGCCAACTTGCTTGTGACAAAAACTAATGTAGGGTCAGTATCTCCATTTTGGAGCTTTAAAGAGGTTGTTTTCTAAGCCACCTTATCATCTGCTTCCACCAAACCTCGATTCTGCTTCTCCCACTACTTGGTTTTTATCATTCTTTTATTGCAACCATCATTTCTTGCAGACACTGTTTGACATCTAATAAATTGTGTACATATTTAAAATATAGGAAGCATGCAAAAACGTTTTATATGGGTTAGAGTTAGAGACTCCAGTTCTTGTCTTAACACGTGGTATGGTAAGGATTCACCAAGCTGACTTAGTTTGCTTAAAGTTATCGATTGCCGAGTTCTAGCTTGGGACTTGAACTGCATTCATCCCAAAGAAGCCCACCTAGCCCAACAAGGCCAAGAGGTTGGCTCATCACATGCTTTCGTCTTATATCTAGGGGTGTCAAAATGGGTTGACACGACACGAATTTGACACGACACAAATACATCAACACGAACACGACACGAATTTTTATTCGTGTCAAAATTTTCAACACTGACACGACACGAATTTTTTGCGGGTTGACACGACACGACCCGAATAACACGCAAAATAAGGGTCAAAACGATAATTGATAAAAAATATATCAAAAATAAAAAAATATCGAAAATAAAAAAATTTAAAAAATAAAAATAAAATAATTAAAAAAAATACAGGTCGACACGAACACGAATTCATAAACATGAACACGACACGAATTTTTTGCGTGTCACTTTTTTCCAACACGAATTATTTTACGAGTCAATCCGAACACAAATTTTCGTGTCGTGTTGCGGGTCCACCGCGTGTCAAAACCTATATTGACACCCCTACTTATATCATGACATAAAAATAAGGGTTATAATTTTTCGAGAAGATTATATTTACAAATTTTTTATTTACAAACTACACTAAATATTGTTGGGCTTCCTCCTTCAATGCTAAGCCCAAGCCCATTGAGGGGTTTCTTAAAAACCCTAAACCCTAGATCTCACCTCCTCTGTATATTTATTAGTTGTGGGTGGAGGCTAGTTTAGAGAGATTAAGAGAGAGATTTGATATTTGAAAGAAAAATTGTTTGAGATTTGAGAGCAAAGCTTTATGCTTTGTATTTGAGATATCTCTAGAGAGAGTTTGAGTGAAACATCTCTAGGGAGGTTTGATTATCACCATTGTTGGAGAGGTTGAGTTAACCACCACATTGGTGATTCTGATTATTTGTAACCATTATTTTCATAGTGGATTTTTGATCTGGACTAGGTCCCGTGGGTTTTTACTTCTTCGTTGGAGAAGGTTTTCCCACGTTAAAATTGTTTTTGTTCTCTCTCTCTCTCTCCTTCCTTCTCTCTCCTGTTTTGCGTTTTGATTTTTCGCTGCGCTGCCCGACCTGGTGAAATTCAGGCCCGAGATCCGAGATCGAGGATCTTGTTGATTGACTTCCGCATAAAGGCCCCTGAGCCGATTTGAGGGAACCGAGTTCCCAACAAATATGACTGGTCATATTTAAATCAAGAGTATATGACCAATCATACTTAGTGTAATTTGTAAAAAAGTTTATAAATGGATCATTCCCCTACTTTTTTTATATTATATTGTTTAAGAAAAATAATTTGTTTACAAACACATAAAAGAGGAATGGGTCTCATTTCTATTTTTTCTCTCTCCTCTTACACTTGTGTCTCACTTGTAACTTTATTTATACTATATGAGATAACTCTTTTCTTACAACATAAGAAAATTATTTTCTTAAAAATAATTATAGAAAAACTCATTATTATTTGAGATTAATGTTTCTTATATTATAGGAGATAATTTTATCTCTTATACACACATAAAAATGTACGGGACCCATATTTTCTTTTTCTCTCTCTTCTTTTCTCATAGCCCCACATGGGTTTCACACAGTTTTATGTGTGTGTACGAAATAATTTTATCTCCTACAACATGAAAAACATTAATCCCTTATTATTTATATAAAACATTTTGGATAAAATTCCACATGTACTTTTTATAGTGTTATCTAATAATCAAAAGATAATATGTATATTCTTTGGGCTTTGAGGCTCTCTAGCGACGGGAATGATTTCCCTTCTCCCTCAGACAACAAACTATAATGGGACCCATCATTTTTTTTTTAAATAAAATAAAAAACTAAACAAAAAAATAATTATGTATCTATGGCATAAGAATACACTTCTCCTGTGAAAGGAGAAGTGTTTTCCCCATATTCTTTTTACATGGAACAATAAAGACTTGAAATAGGAAGAAAATGCAATTAAAAAAGAATATACATGTTATGTTTTTATTGGAGAGAGCAACATAAAAAAAACACATGGAAATTTTATCTTACATTTGTCTTTATTATATTTGGTTTATTAATTTTATTTTATGTTTTTCTCTCTTATAAGATATATAACCTTATATTATTAGTAAGTAACCTGAGTTCATTCTGATCCCAGATTCCCAGTTACATAACTCCTTATCAAATATCATCCCGACCATACACTCAATTCAAAAAGCACTATTATTTCCTTAATGTGTATTATTAAGGTAACTCTATATTCTAATTAATTAGTTGAAATCATTTTGTGGGATTATGGATTTTAGTCACAGTTTTTTTTTTTTTAAATGATTGACTCGATGATTGGTAGGAATTTTTTTTACATCAAATGACACTAGCATCATTTGGCTCTTCTAACAAAGGCATGTGGAGTCAAAGTAAGATGATAAGTCTCTACTTTTAAATATGAATATTGGTTTGATGTAATTTGTTTATGATCAAATTGCTATAAGATATCAAATCACGCTCCACCATTAATATCAACCCCACCACCACATCATCTTCCTCCCACACTTTCATTACAACAAAACCTTAAGAAATTCACTAAATAATGTAGCATTCTGTACTGACCCATATAGTGCCTCACAGTTCAAAAGGACAAAGGAAACAAATTGATCCACATGCCCACGCACATTGTTTCTTCTGATCAGAATATTTGAATTCATATATAAATCCAAACTCTGTCTTTCCTCAGTTACATGCTTGCTTGATTAGGTGGTTGATCATTATTATTATCTAATCAATGCCTCGTTCGACCACTTTGTCTTTTAACATATAGTCCCTAACTTAAACATGCTTAGGACAATTATATGTGTGGTGATTTAATTCTAAACTACAAATTTGGTTTATGCTTCATATGGAAACAGAAAGTGATTTAATAATTATAATCATGCTATCTGACTTCTATTTTGGTTTCTTCTTGATATGAAATGAACCATTGCATAAGCAATATTATGGCATAGGTATAAGACAAAATAAGAGTTATGTTTCAATTGGAGTAGTGGATTATAAATCAAAATCAATGAGAAAGAAGCCAATTGCCAAAGTTTTCATTAGCTATATGGAAAGAGATGATTCATCGTTTTATGTTTCTTCTAGAAGAAAATCATATTTCACTCAAGAATCTCAAATATAAGAGGGGTTTTATATTTTGCTCCACTCGAATATGCATAAAGTCAATAGCATTTCATGATTAAAAAACTATCTCAGAGTCGTCTGTGCTATTAAATATCACATTCTCGATCAGTCATCAGAGAAAATTCTATAATTGCACATTGAACTACCTGTTTATACGTTTATACCGTTGGAATACTTGTGTATCATGAAGTCCTTGTACGCGCGTTAGTTCCATTAATATTTTATTGAAAGTCTTTCTTGAAGATTGGATTTCTCATTATATGCGAAATTAAGGACAAAAGCTATATATGGCGTGCAATAATAGATATAGTGGTGTTTAAATTTGGAAAACTCTTCAATCTTTATTATCTGCCATCGATTTAAGTTACTCAGGTTGTAACATGTACTTAATTATTCTTGTACAAAGTATTATAATATATAATTGGACGTCAGTATTACATTTTTAATAAAGACTGAGTCCTAAATAAACAAGTAAAAAATAAATTCACCTTAATATGTCACGAATCTATTTTATAAAATGCAAAAAGTAAAAAATTACAATAGTTATATAATTATTCATTTTATGTTTACAACATTCCCTCTAAATAAATTTGTCATGTCATGTTGGATTAGATTATGTGCAATGCTAATATTTGATTTGTTGTCACAAATGATTTTGTAGAAGTTTCATACTTTATTTTAAGGTCATCTAATTAATATAATCTTCGTCCATAATAACTCACAAACTCATAAAATTATTTTGTTACAAAAATATTTTTAATGTAACAAAAATAGAAAGTAATTGATAATGTGATTTTATTTTTTTTAAATGTACTAAACAACAATGAAGTCGTATATTTTAAGAAAAAAGATAATACATATAAAATTATCTCACTCTAAAAAAAATTTAAAACTCATATAGCTAGGAATGGATTGTTTTATTTTTAAGCTAGATCCCATGATTATTACTCAACATTATTGCTCAAGCATTTAGTCTGTTCTTACCGCAAGATATTTGTGGTTGATTATGAATCATATACTTTAAATTCATCAATCAAAATTCTAAATAACGGTTGGAAATCCACACGTACAAATCGCACAAATCGAAAAAATAGAAAAGAGAAAAGGAAGATAAATTCATACTGAAATTTATCTCGATTCATCCAAT